TAGTGTAATTTATAGAAACGTCTCTTTAAACAGAAACATTGCTTTTACATCTAATCCAAAAAAAAAATCTGGACTTACATAGCCTCTATAGCGCATTATAATAGTAGGCAATTTCCATGTACACAGTGAATAACATAATGGCGATGATATTTTGGTATTTTATAATATCCAGTAAGAAGACCCAGATATAACTGGATGAGCCAAATTTAAAAACATTTGGAAGGACATGTAAACACATAACAATCATCTTGCCTTGAACAGAAATATATTTTGGTAAGCGTACGTTACAAGACGTAACAGACGTAACACGTTAAGAAGAAGAAAATAATATAGTATTCTTGATTAGTACTAGTGTAGAATAGATTTAATTATTAGTATTTACAGCTCAGAGAAAACTATGCGCCATACCAGTACACAATCAATTAACATTACCATTAAAAATCGATTCATAAAACCATATTATATCCCCGTTAAGCATTTACAGAAAACTGGTCGTATATAGGTTGCACTACAATAGTTTTCAAAGTCATAATTTTTACACAGTTTAATATACCATTATTTTAGTTAAACACACAAAAAATGTTACGCCTCGTTATACTAAAAACTACTAAATCTAAAACCATGTGTTTATAGGTGTTTGTCCCATGAAAAATACCCAAAAAATTACAAAAATAATTTTTTTAATTAATTATAATTTATCAGCGAAAATGATAGAAAAACTTCTAGTCAGTGGAAGCAAACAAAAATTTAATTATCTCTCTCATACAATAATTCCACTAAATTTTATGATGATTCATTCCTTTGTTTTTTTTTTCGTAATATTGCTGACAAACAAACAGCGGTGAATCTTCCTTGACTGAGGTAATAAACAATGTCTAAATGGTACAAAAAATGTCTCTTATACACATCTAGATAAAAAAAAAAAAAAAAAACAAACAAACAAAACAAGAAAACTAAACCGATATCACAGATGGCGTATCATCATTGGCATAATCAGGGCATAATGATACCCGATTTTCAAATTGAATGATGAAACCACTTTATTATTTAAGACCTACGATTCTCTGTTAAAGTTATTTACTTCTTATTTAAATACAAATAAATGTTTCTAGCAAGACTCTGAATCTCATCGCTTATAGGTTCTATGTTGCTAGGGGAAGGAACAGTACTTTTCATTACACGAATCCAACTCAAGGAATCCAGGTAGGCCTACATTTTCACCCTATGTGTGTATGTTGTGACTATACTAACTTGCTGAACGTTTAGCAGGGCACTGTGCCCGACGATCGTCGTTCGACACGATTTTATGAAGCCACGCCACGACGATCGGTTCAGACTGCCACCAACAATCAGCAGACGGCATCATAAGACGCAGTGAGTGTCCGGTTTTATAAATTGATAGCAAAGACTGTCATTGCATTTTACGGAAAATTTCCGTTGAACCTAACTGTAACTATTAACTGAAACTCTGCGGAAAATGCAAATTAAGGTTAAATAAACCTTATATGATAACAGAAAGTGACTACAGTGGTACATAGAAAAACCCTATGCAAGAACACGGGGAAACGGGACAGAAGAAAAGGAAAATACGAACAAAAAGCTTCGAAAATGTTATTGCAGAACAAGAATTCAAGTAATGTTGACTCCCATGTTGATCAAAAATGCAGATATACCATCGACGATTTGCCTAGCAGCTGATTTCGACTCTTCAGCTTTAGTGATGGAGTAGACATCATTAGGTATCTTGTCACGCGGATGTTTATCGGGATAGCGCGTGCTAATCTGGTCCACAGCCGCGCTTTCTAACAGGTCAGCTGCTAATCTTAGGTCAATCTGAGTTTTAACGTCATCTGCTAAAACTAAGATAGAATGTTCATTACATCCTCCACCATGAATAGCATATCGTACCGCTTTAAATGCCTTTTCTGCTGCTTGGAAGCATTTAAAACATATCCACTCACAGAAGTTATAGTCCTCAGTCTCTGCAGCCGAGAGGTCAATTTTCGCTTGCCTCATCCACCTCCTAGCTTCTGAAAAGTTAGGCTGTGAAAATATCGTCTGTGTGGCGAAGTTTCCACTCTGACTTTGGAAAGAGGAGTAATCTCTTTGTGCTCTCTTATTGATTTCATCAAAGAATTCATCATCGAATGACATATTAGTCCTACTTTCGTCACATCTGCTCAATTCCTCGTATAATTCACTTTCTAATCGTTTTATTACATCCTTGATAAATTGGAACATTTCTGTGTAGAATTCCTTCCTGTCTTTCTCATTCTTATCAGGATGCCATGTCAAGAGAATTCTTTTAATTGCTTTACGCTTTTCGGGATCAGGTAGGTGCCAGATAGCTTGTAATTTATTCTCAATTTGTTTTTTAACGTCACCCATTGGGCTTTCATATGAGATAGACTGTGAGTCGTTCCCTTCATAAGGAACCAACTGAAGACCAGTAGCTCTATCTGGTTTAAGAAACTTAAAAATATCAAGCATTGAAACTACGATTGGCCCTTCATCTTTGTCTCCAATGTCAATTGCATACATTCCAATTGGTCCATTTGTAGTAATCGGAATTATTTTACTCTTTATTTTCGCATATACGTAATGTGATTCTAGGTCAATGTCCGACAGTTGGTAAGCGACTATTTCTCCTTGGTAAAATTTATCAAATGGTTCTTGTAAGAGAAGGTAAAGAGAATCCTCTGGCACAGGATTTCCAAGAATTGGCTCGTAAGGACGACTTCCATAGGATGTTTTATCCAAGTCATCTAAAGTATCGGTTATCATAAAAGGAGAAGGTATTGTGACAATTCCTTCAAGAGATATGATGTCAGAAATTTGATTTCCAAGAATGTCATTGATAATTGTCACGAGCGTCCTTTTGAATGCTATACTCCCCGGATGTTCATGATGACGTACATAAAGTTCATAATTTTGAAGTCCATTCACTTGTTCTGGTTTCATTAGGCAACATTCAGCAGTACCTTCACTATCATTTAGAACGGTATTGGTGCAATATAGCTGAGTTGCTATTGTCTTTTTACAATACAATTTGATTGATGACAGACCAAACACATTTTCAATTTTCTGCTCAGTTGTTTCTTTGTCAAAATCCGAGTGCCTTTTCTCATCATTTATTAACCGCATCAGTCCTTGTCTGAACTCATGTGATGTCAGGACAGTTTGGTATGTATCTAAAAACTGACAGTGGCCAATTTGGGATTCAGGGCAGTCTTCACATTCTGTTACTAACATTTCTTCTCTGAATTCTTTGCTCATCTTTTGGAGTTGCAAGCGGTGTGGTAAGACGTCAAGGTATTTAAAGTAGCTTTCATTCATATCAAGTTCTTTAAAACCAATGAACAGTCTCACAGAACCGCTGTTGATCCGACGTTCATAACGACAGACATCAGCATAAACTAAATCACATGATGATATCAGCATATGCTCCTTGTCTGGAAAGTAGAGACAGTCGACAGACTCAAACTCTTGTTCAATCTCCTCCTTTTCGAAATGTTTCAGCATCTCGAATAGACGTTGAACACATGCTGCAACAACATTTTTGAAGTTTGGATTTCGTCCACCAGTGTTGTCCGATTTAAAAACAGCTTCCAGAACTGACGAATACTGCTTGGCGCTAATGTCATCAGTCATCCCAGCAGCTTTGAATACATTTCCGTAACGTTTGAATTCTTTCGGGAGCTCGTATATGTATGGAATAAGTACATCTTTTATTGCTTTTGGTATACGTTCCGAAACAATTGAGGCTTGGGCAAGGATGCTTCTATCCAAGTTATCACGGACAAGAACAAACGGTAAAGATTCTGGTATTAATTTTACAATACACTGACAAACGTTGCATGAAGCATCATTGCAACGACACTGTCGTGACAAAAACTTATATATGTCTTCAAAAACCTCTTCATTTGAAATTAATCGTCTTACTGTGCTTGTGGATATGTTAATCAGATGCTTCAATACGTCCTCGACATTGGGTACTGGTATCACCCCAAGTTCGGCAGCTTCTTGGTCTTTGAATACAGATGCATAAGCTGGTAACACTGGCTTAGTAGTCCACACGAGATGCGCATGGGTACACTTGACAGACCCGCTAAACATTACTGCGTGTGTACCAGGAAATAACGTCTTTACTTCAAAATTTTCAGGTACTAAAAACTTGATAGTTGATATGTCACTTAACAAAGATGAATCGCATTGAAACTCGCTTAGGGCTTTTACCAACGCCTGAGAATTTTCTTTGCACTGCTTCGCATTTCTTAGAATCTGATTTTCAATCATTTTTCCGAATTGTATAAATATATAATGACTTAAATCCGATATCAGCCCAAGATTTAGAAGCAAGTCTCTCCATTCAGGGTCGTCATACGGTCTTGGTGGAAATGAATGACTTGGCAGCATTTTCTGGAATAGTTCAATTTCTGGATCATACAATTCGTTTACCATTTTAAAGCCTGTGTCTGTTTTCATGATTGGAGTTGAAGTAAAACCGATGTCATGAAATTGTTGCTTATCCAACCGTTTTGTCAATATCCATTTGAGGTGAGCCTTCCTTGCTGAATCCGAGAAATCACAAAAATACGGAAGTATGAACCTTGTGTAAACTTCAAGAATAGATTCATCGTAAAGTCCTAGTTTCTTGTATAGCTTTTCCAGCTGGGGCTGTTTCTTTATGAAGACCTTTCGCGTTTTCTTCATCCATTTTGACTGGTCATCTTCAGGAATTTCCTCTTGAATTATGACCACATCTGACGTATTAGTTAAACTTACGGTGTCCCCAGTAATAGTTTCAAACAATTTTAATTTCTTCAGCAGAGTGAATGTTTTATTAGCCAAATTTCTAATATTTCTTTCGAAATAGTTCAACAAATATGCACAATCATCTGGTTCCAGCACAGTAAAGCAGTACTCGTCGTCGTTCTGTAGAAAGTGGAGCAAAGACACTATGTGCTCTGGATGTTGCGGGGAAGACATTAATGCACTAATATGTTGAATCTTTGGCAGCAGTTCAGGATTAGGTTCTGGACACTTGAGCTTTTCACCAAATATTGTACATAATGGTCCATCGTGAGCGAAATCGCCTTTCACAGTAGCCGCCATGGAGAGTGGAACTAAGTAGGCTTCATCTTTGAATTGCACTGGTAAAATAGCCCAATCACCAAATACTCTGATTAATTCTTGCGGGTTAGGTGGTAATCTATTTCCTGAAGAATCACAGGGAGCACTTTGCTTCCATGATGAAAAAATACACTTCCATAAATCTGTTATCCACTTTGGTTGTAAAATTTCTGAATCATAGTGAATATATGATCTATTTTTGAATTGTATCGGATTCAGACACTTGTCCAAACGTTCTTCAATATCAAACAGTGACAACATTTGGAATTGGAAAACATTGAAGTATTTTACATAATCTTTGTGTAGAAATTCATGTTTGCACTCTAGAAAAACATGTGCATATTGGCAGTAAAATATGTTTCTAATTCCAAATGTACATTTACGAGACCGGAAATCTTCGCTAGGCTTTGATTCTAGTTTCCTAGATTTATCTGGACAGTCACATACATTCAAAGAGTTATCTGCAGTTAATATTAACGGAAGACCATGAGGATGTAATCCTTCTGGTTTTGTGCACATAAACTCCATCAGAGTTTTAAGATCGTCTTTAGTTTTCATTGTGGTTTTATGAATTGGTAGAGGAAGCTTTTTTAGTGTGCATTTTCCATGATTTGTCGATAAAAAATCGCATACAATATCGGGCGTGACAGAATCTACATCACATCCAGCTGCTTTGAAAAAACGATATATGCAGAAATTAGCATAAAGCACGTTAATTCCAAGTCTAATCAAAATTGATTTTAACTTCATAGATTTTTCTTCATCGACACCTAGATCATAGAAGTAGCCTTTCTCAAAATTGCTCCCCAAGAGAGAACACCATCTTATTTCAAAAAGTGTGGTGCCTTCTGAATCACTGTTATCTAATTTCAAAAGAGGCAACAATGGTTCGTTTTGATCGACAATTCTTTTGTAGAGCGATACAGCAAGATTTTTCCACAACAATGACGATGTTTTTGAAGGATCAGGAAATAGTCTGTGATAATTGTTCAAGCGATGTTTAATGACTTTGTCTGACATTACATTACTCAGAAATTCCGAGAGGCCAGTCCGTGTTGCAAATTCTTTGAGTAGGTTTAAATAGGCACGCGAAATGACAACAGTTATCAATTTATTGTTCCAGGCCGCACGTGAGTCATTATATTCATCGTCATAATCCCAAATACTCCTTCGCGACTGTCCGAGGCAAAAGTGGCCATTGACAATTACCGGGAGACCACTTTTAATAGGAATTGGCAAAAAGCAATGTACACTGCAGTCATTAGACTTATGATTAACGTTTTGGTGTTTTATGTTTCCGGGTAGCATTGTGGCAACCCCACCGATTGGAAGATGTGAACGCGATTGGTCAAACTGGGCATCAACAGAGGCACCTCCGAATCCAAAAGCTTGTGAAACCAACCAACTTTCACTGCTTTCTTTGCGATTACTTTTATGACACAGCACTTCCATCTGATAGGAACAGTCCCTTTGGTTATCTTCATCGATTTCCAGTGTGTTTGAATAGAAGTTCTGTCTTTTCTCCTTATCAATATCGTTACGTATAATCGATTTTACAGAATACATTTCAGAAAGCTTACCAGATGTGTCGATTTCATGGATACTAATCTGTCTAATGTTCTTTAAAAACAGTAGGACTTCCGGCATTTCATTTTCAAACTCATTCAGGAGTTCGACAATTCTTCTTTTTGTAATTACTTTGTTGCTAATCTTAGACAGATTACTCATTTCTGTGGAACGTAAGGGTAAGCGGAATATAGTTCCTCCTCTTTGTGGAAATTCATGCTCAAATTCATTCAGGTAGCATGTCATTGCATTTGGGAAAATGTTGCGAACTTCCTGCAGTTTCTTTGTTATCAGTCCAGGGTTGTCTGGTGTTGCTGCTGGTGCATACTCAATGTTAGGGTCAAATAAGCAAAATGTGTCTCCATTTGAAATAAATGATGGACAGTCCGTTACATGGTAGACAACATTAAAACCGACGCCATATTGCCCTGTTTTTTCTGATTTGTATTTTTTACTTCCACTCCCTAGATCTTGAACACCTCGTATGTCATCATCACTAAATGTTGCATCGTTGTAGATACAAAGTGCCGGGCCCTGTAAGTGCTTCCAATTAGAGGATGGCAGTTCACTTATTGGATGAGTTCTGTTATCGAGAATAATACTTAGTTTTCTAGCACCCGCATCGTCAGCATTCTGTAACATTTCACGAAGAATAGAAACACCAAGTGGATAACCTTCAAGAATCCACTTAATTCGAGATGTTAGTTTTTCGTACTGACCAAACCCAGAAAACAAGTCACACGACAAATTAATGATAGTACGAGTTCTAATGTCCTTTATCCCAAATCGTTTGGCCATTTCTTGTGAAACTTTTCCGTTACAAATCTTGACATTTTCCAATGGAGATACAAAGCTGACATCGTTATAGCAAAGTTCATGAACGGGACGTAGTATGTTTTCCACATCAGGAATGAGAACGCCATCTGCATCTGATGGTTCCTTTAGTTTCTTTTCCAAGTGAGTGAGTATCTGGATGACAGCATCAATGTCATTACCCTCTAATGGTTTTATGGGAACTTCTGACTCGGTCTCTTGGAATTTGCTATTCAACCTACAGATCGCATCGATGTAATCAGATATTCCGAATCTCTCCAATACACCGAGTTCACGAAAGAATCCCCAGAAGTTTTGTAGATCTTTCGGAAATTCGTACAGCAGCTCATAGATATTTCCAGTTATTTCATGTCGTGCACATCGATTACCTTCTACAAAGCGGTCATTGACAAGTACAATTGGTATATGCTTCAGTTTCACTAATAAGTCTTGGTAGCTCTGGGCTTCTGATTGACAAATCTTTTCCAAAATTAACATATATAATCGTTTGACCGCTTTTATATTTTTGCTGTTTATATCACATTTAATAACTTTATCGAGTTGTATAAATATATCATCTATAACAGGGTGCTTAGAAACCCCAAACACATTTGGAAATAATATCTCATAATGAAAGCCCAATCCATCAATTATTGGATGCAGGCTTCCAACTAGATCTGCATTTGCTTCTGTATATAACTCTTTTGGTGGAAACAGCTGCACTTGGTGTGTGAACCATGATATCGGGTAGTCCTTTGGTTTTGTCATTGAAGGAAAGAATCTAATGTGTTTAATGTCTTCACGAAATACTTCTATTCCATTTTTATCTATCTTGTGCTTGTGGTATGTATATTTAACAATAGCTCTGATGCGTGCCATTGCTTTTTCCTTGCTGGTTTCTTGTAGTATTTCGACAGTTCTGGCACGTTGAACAATATCTGACCACTGCACCTCCATTTGCATTCCAAGTCTAATTAACTTCTGGATGATTACGCTATCACTATAATCGCCAAATGGAAAAACGTTATCCTCAGCACTGTACATCTTTGATACATTTCCACTCGGATATATCAATTCGGAAATTCTTTTCCTTATTTTCCCGTCAGGCTTTGAAGGAATACAAGCTGTAGATTTTAGTTGCTCCTGATATTCACCGGCATTTAACACATGTAATAGGATACTATCAGTGATCTTATCCCCAAACTTCCCAATGTTAGGGAAAAAATATTTACGGAAAAATTGGTTCTTAGAGACAATTTGTCTTTGTAATGCACTTCCATGATCTGCGGAGAGAATTTTATAAAGCCATTCAGGAATGTCGAGAACTGCAATCTGTTCGGAATCCAAAAGAATTTCTAATATTTCCATTAAAGACTTTCCTATATTTGAAATTTGCTTGAGTTCTGGATCAATTAACACCAAATGCCTGAAATCAAACCAACGGCCACCTTTCTGAAATATTAATGGAAGGCTATGTTCATCTCCACTGACAACCATCCGATAAAATTCTTGAAAGATTAATCTATAATCGGAATGTAAGTCATTCTTCGGCCAGAAATAAAAATCATCACCTTTTTGTGCTGCATCTTTTAACAAAATGTTACCGCATTCACCCTTTGATAGAAGATTGATGTAAGTCTTAGTTATATGCTTCATTAAGGCATTATTCCACTGCGTATCTAAACTTCTCTCATCACCCGCGCCCAATTTCTTTAAGTTTCGCCTATTTGAACTGAGGGAAAAACTAGCGTTTATATACACAGGCAATTTGCTTAATGGCACAGATAAAGGCAGGAAACAATACACCAGTCCTTTCGCAGTATTTTTACCAAGAGGACAAGCCACACCTCCAACAGGATTTAGACCATGTTCTACTCCAAAATTTGAAATAGCTAACTCTGTAATACTATCGTGGCTGTCAAATAGATTTAGATCATCACCCACGTTTTCTGATCTAGCTAAAGCCTCGAAATCACATTTTCCATCTGAACCTTGTATTATCCATTGTTTAGTAGCACTCTTATCAACACCAAAAAAACTCTTGCCTCTTTTTGATGTAATCATAGAAGCTGTTACAAGGTTTCCTTCTTGCTTTGTACTGATTCGAAATAATTCAATAGTCTTCAGGGGATTAGTCTCATTTTGATGTAGCATGTGCAAAGACACATCTTTAACGTGATTGGTGAATAAGAGAATATCGTCTGCGTTTTTGTGAAATTGACTGAGGATGTCTTTTATCTTCGTCTTATTACAGGGATCATTTCGTATTTTATTATCCTTCGCCTGGAGGTCTGTCCGCAATGGGAATCTGAATAGTGTTCCATTGTAAGATTCCCATTCAGATGTTGGTCTCAAATCACAGTCAAATATTCCATTGTATGGTCCAAATTGACCCTTAAAAAGCGATAGTTGTTTAGGCCTGGTGCCCTTTGTAAAAATTAACGTTATTCCAAGTTTTGTCTTGTCTTTAATTTGGTTTCCAAGATGTACTGCATGTGGATCAAAAAACACAATTCTATCACCACTGATAAAGCTTGGAACATCTGTCAAATGGTACACTGAGTTAAATCCTAATCCAAATCTGCCAATTTTCTTTCGGGAAGGCTTTTTAGTCTGACCTCCCAACTTCTTTATATTTTCGAAGTCTTCTTGCGAAAATGTTGAGTTATTTTGGACCCACAGTGCTGGACCCTGGCATCGTATCATCCCACGATCGAGAAGTTTCCCTTCACAATTCCTATTCTCTCGGAAATCAATGAGGAATTTTACTTCCGTGGCCTTCGCGTCGTCTGCATTCTGGATTAGTTCTTTTGGAATGTCACATGCTTCATACCCTTGCAAAATGTTTCGCAGACGAACCGTAAGATCTTCACTTTGACCAGTTTGTACTATTCCTTCAAATTCTTCGGCGTCGGCCAAACGTTTACTGAGCGATATCACGCCAAGTCGTTTACATAATTCTTTAGGGATATCCTTATGGGTGAGCAAGACTGGAGTGGACTGGTTATCATCATGTAGGTTTTCCTTTTCGTATCCATCCATATCACAGTAGCACATTTCAGAAACCGGATGCAATCGAAGACGGTGAGTGTCGTCCTCGGGTAGCAACACATTAGTTAGGAACTCATAATTCGTATCGTTCTCTTCATTATCAGAAAATATATTGCAGATAATTCTTACTACATATTGCTGATCATTTTTGATCTCTTCTTTTGTTAGGTTTGTCTTCATATGTATATCTTTAACTTTCTGAATTATATTGAGCATGGCGTTTCTGTCCATTTGTTGATAGGCTCCACAAGACAGAAAGAGCCGTTCAAATTTGGCAAATACAGGCGGTACTGGATAGACGTATGGAGCCATTTTAAAATCTATTGATTGGATCGATATTTTCTGAGCCTCCACAAATTCGCTACCTTGCCATATCCATGGCATTTTTGACAACTGTTTTTCAACATCGTCCGGACTCTCTTGAAAATACGTGTATATTTTGCAAAGGATCTTGATTTGGTCGGGGCCGTTAAAGTCCAATTTATCGTTTTTCCATAAAGATATACAAACCTGCAGTTGTTTAATGACTAGGCTTACACGAGGAAGTTCATTCCAGTAAATGCTTTCCAGAATACTATCCGTTCTAGGTAATTCTACTAACGCTGCCGATGACCCAGCGATGTGTATATAATTTGATGGTAGAATTTCCGTTGGTTTTGCAACCTTTTCTACGCAGCCCCATGTAAGAGGGTAAGTCCATGGTTTGCACATTACAGGAACCCATTTGATATTTTTAAGATGGGTAGATATCAGATCAGCCCTTTCGCTAAGAAGTGTTAACAGACTCTGTGCTTTACGTTTTTCACTTTTAGCTTCAATCCTCCTCGCTCGTGATATTACATCACTTACGGTAATGTCTTGACTATTCTTGAGACCTAATTCTCTTAGTATATACATGTGCTTCTTGTCGATGTCCTCTACTGGAAACAATGCTTCGTCTTTATCCCATAGCACTGATACAACATGATCAGTTGGATCAAACAGATCACATGGTGGCTTTAAGCTGCCATCATTTGTTTTCAAAAATGATGTTATTTTAAGTTTTGAAAGTAGATCACCGCTTTGAATATTGCTCCACCATTTATAGATCCATTTTATTAGATTCTTCATATCATTTTGTGATACATTATCCAGCATTTGAAGTACAGCTTCATCTGTACTGCAAGTTGTTAGTTGAAGCATGGATGTCAGTGTTTCATCAGATCTGTCATACAATCCTATCATTTTCTCCGTTGTAGCGAAGTTTGGGAGCTCTGTAGCTTTTATAACGTTGTAAATTTCTCTGGCTGGAACCAATTCTTTATCTGGAAATGATTTAAATATGGGTAACATAGAGTAACGTTGACGTTCTTCAAGACACATTTCCACAGAACTAACTGAAATTTTAATCATGAAATTTCGTAATGTATGTTTGTCTGTTGGAAAGAGTTGTTTAAGGCTTCTTGAAATTTCTGACCTTGGCAATGCCATCAATGCCTTCACAACGCCTTCCAGAGTCGGATAATGAACAAACCCTTTATTATACAGCTGGGGGTGTCTGCCTATGTATGATGGTAAATGAACAACTTTCAGACCTATTCTTTCTAATACTGCCTCAACTTTAGAATCTATTGGCCTACTTGTAAGAGGATTGCATGCCGATATTAGGCAAGAATCATTCATTAGGGGCATCATTCTGATCTTCATTGCGTTGACTCGTTTCGGGATCAACGGTAATGAAAAGAGATCTTCCAAATTTTCTGTGAAATCATAATTAAGCACCTTCCAACACTTTTCAAGCCAAGCCTTGGGTGGGTGTTGATTTTGTGCTGGCGTCCATTCTACTTCTTGACCACGCCGCCAATTCATTGGAAGCGTGTCTCGTATTAGGCGAGCCACTGTAGCCACGGTTAGTTCTGCAATCTGTGGCAAACCTACAACAAAATGATAGATAAATAAATGGCTGAAGGATATATGAAAAATAAAGGCGCATTAGAATAAAATATAGTAAATTAATTTAACGATGAAATTTATACTTTATGATTGTGCATAATTAATTGAAATGTAATTATCAATTATATTATTTAATAAGAGTAGATAGTCATATTGGTCCACGTGTGTTCAAATAATAAAACAAAAATAATGATTCAAAAACGCTGAGTTAGACAGTAGAACACAAAATATTTTATTCAGGAAACGAACATTTCGTCTTGTCCTCAAGATTTCATCAGTGCAACTGATTACAAGTAGGGAAATACCAGATTCCAATTCAATTCAATTCAACAAAACATTTATTTTCTTCCAAATGCACTTAGAAAAACAAAATTACAAATACAAAATACAAAAATTGGAAGAAGGCCAGGTCCTGAGAAGTTGTTTGCAAAAACAAACATCTTGTGATGGGCAGGCCTGAAAAAAATAAAAAAATAAATAATAAATAAAATAAATGAATAAATAAATAAAAAAAATTAAAAAAAAATATATAAAGAAAAAAGAAGAGAAAGCAGCTCAAAACAAAACAGCACGACAAATTTCAACCTCAGAAAGTTTAATAATTTGAGTGTTTTTTCAGTTTATTAGAAAAGGCTCTGGCAGAAACAGCATTGGTAATTGAGAATGGTAGATTGTTCCAAATAGAGGGGCCCGTATATCTAATGTTATGTTGGAAATAGTTTGTGTTGTGATAAGGGATGTGAATATCAGCTCTAGAACGCGTATAATAATTGTGAAAAGAGGAATTAGACATAAACATGTTACTTAAATGCTTGGGAAGGATCGAATGCATGGCAGAGTATACAAATATACTTTGCTGGATTAAATTAATATCGTTTAATTTTAGAAAATTTAGATTGGAAAACAAATGGGAAGAATGAGATTGTGGGGGAGAGCCAGATATGATCCTGATAGTCTTTTTTTGAAGAATTTGAAGTTTGTTGATGTTAGATGGATATGTATTGCCCCAAACAATGTTGCAGTAGTTCAAGTAAGGAAGAATGAGAGAGCAGTAGAGAATACGAAGAACATTACAGGGAATAAAGGAAGAGAGTCTAGAAATGATGCCAAGGCTTTTGGAAATTTTACTCTCAACTTCACTTATGTGAGCTTTCCATGTGAGTCCACTGTCTAAGTGTACTCCTAAAAATTTTGCAGATTGAACAGAAGGTATTTCGTGATTTGTCAATGAATATTTTGTATGCTGAAATGTCGATATTTTTTAGCCTTTTGGGGTCCCAAACAGGATGAAGCTACATTTTTTGTAGTTGACTGAAATTTTGTTTGCAGAAAAGTACTGGGACATGTGAATCAAACTGGAGTTAAAAGTATCAAATAATGATTGAATATTTTGGTTAGAATAGTAAACCGTTGTATCATCGGCATAGAGAAAGAAATTGAGCAAGTTAGTGGACAGATGGATATCATAATATATAAAATAAACAGGAGAGGACCCAGTAATGAACATTGAGGAACTCCACATGTGGTTGGGCTGAAGTTAGATATAGAATTACAATATTTGGTACATTGGGCACGATTTAAGAGGTAGCTTTTGAAGAGATCAAGTGCGGGTCCCCGTATTCCGTAGTGCGATAACTTATACAAAAGAATGTTGTGGTCAATTGTATCAAAGGCCTTGGAAAGATCTATAAAAAGACCAATTGCAAGTTGGCGGTTTTCAAGAGCATTAACTATATTATTTGTTAGATCAATAAGGGCCATGGATGTACTGTGATTTTTCCTGAAACCATACTGTTTGTTATAGAGTATGTCTTTAGAAACAAAGGAGAAAGTGCGATCGTATATTACTCTTTCCAGGGCCTTCGAGAAGATTGATAAAATTGAGATAGGGCGATAATTGGATAGCTCGGATTTAATGCCAGACTTGTATATAGGGGTAACGCGCGCTAGCTTCATCCTGTCTGGGAATACACCGTTGGATAGGGCAAGATTAAAAATATGGTATAATGGAAGATAGATAAGATTAGCAATGTGTTTGATGACTTTGGTGTGAAAATCATCAATACCGGGAGACTTGTTCGTTTTAAAGGATGTAAGTATTTGAGTCACTTCAGTCTCATTGACTTGGCTAAAATAGAGAGAAATAGAAATTGGGTTTGGTAGAAAGTCTTTAAATGATTTATTGACATCGGGAATTTTGTTAGCAAGTGAAGGTCCAATTTCGACAAAGTATTTGTTAAATGCATTAGAAATTTTATTGGGATGAGTGGTCATTATCCCATCACAATTTAGGGAAGTATTAGATTGCCGATTATTTTTTTTTGTTGATCAACAAGTTGATGGTCTTCCTAGTTGCCTTGATATCATTTTTATGTTTAATAAATGTATTTTGATAATGCTTAGTTTTAGTTGTTTTAATTAAGAAATTTAATTTATTACGGAATTGTTTGTAATTTTTTTCGTTAGCGGCAGACGGGCAGTGCAGAAATTTAGCATATAATTTTTGTTTATATTTAATCGATTTTAGTAAACCGTCTGACATCCACGATTTGAGTATTGTTTTTCTTTATGTGTTTTTGAGGAGGAAAATGTTTATCATAAAGGGATTTCAGTGAATTTTCAAAATTGGTATAGGCTGCAACAGGGTCCTGTGTATTAATGACATCGAGCCATTGTTGCGAA